TTGAAAGAATCACCTGTGTATTTATACTAAAACAATTATTCTCCGAAGGCGAAGTGAATATCTTGGAATAATAACCGAAATATTTTGATTCCTGCTTTTGTTTTCCGATTTCAGAAGTGAGGCTAAGCCCACATGACTGCAGTAAGTATTAAGAGTTGCCAWTTCAGAAAGTCCAAAAAGTTTTTGACCAAACAATATATAAATAAAACACGTTTATTTAGCCAATAGAAGTCATTTTATCAGTTACCCAGCGAATGGGTAGTAATGCTTATTATGTCGAAACCGTCCACAAGGTTATGAACTGTATGAGAAAATGTTATTGAGAATTGGTGATCGATAAAGTTGTCAAGCAAAGTAGTCCTTGTGTCAGGCATAGAAACACTGTATACGTGTTGCACTTAATGGGAAAGTCGTCGAGAAGCCCTCAGGCATACACGATAGAAGTGTTATATAATATAATTGTTTTTCTCTCGAGTTCAATTATCCCATTTATTGAAAGCACGTTTAAGTGTCAAACAACTAATTAAAGTCTTGTTGAGTGACATATATTTATTGATGATGCTATGAAACAGTTATGAGAAAAAAACGCTTAGGAAAATCCATTTTATTCAAACACCGCCACCTCAGCTGTCGGGCGAAACAAGACTAAGGTATCGTAAGTAGATCAAGCTTTTCGGTTACTCTATCGGATATATTTATTCATTGAAGTTTGCTTGAAGATATTAAGAATTACAATTCAATATATCATCCAGGCTGGTTTGTAATTTACTTGTTTTTCCCTTCGGTTTAGTTTAGCTGTCCCTCAACATGAGGTTCACTGGTTTGTTGAGTTTCTTTATCGTTGTTTTGGCTACTACGACGGATGCTACGGAAGGTACGTGGAAACATATATGATGAGTTACAACAGTTACAACAGTTACAACAGTTTTTATTTCCACAAAAAATATATATACATACATAAATTGAATAAGTTGCAAATCATTGTGGGGGGTGCAAGAGAACAACCTCAGAGGTTAAAAAAGCTCTTACACCCTTAAAACGAAAGTGAGTGATATTTACRTATRTGTAAGATGGAAAGAATCATATATAGTACAGTAGTTTTCATAGTTGAACAATTAGAAATTTCATAAAATAAAATAAACGTACAGGGGGAAAAAATGAGTTGAGCCCGGTGCTGTATTCACTTTTCTTCATTAAAGTACTATTAGATAAATTTAAAATCTTCAAACTTTCAAATTTCATCGATACACTGAAACAGCTTCTGTCCTTCTAGGCTGATTTCTTCAAGGTACGGCTAACTCAGAAATCGAACCCTGAAACAACCTCTGGGCGGATCAAAGTCAGGGCATGACTAACTCACAAATCGAACCCTGAAACAACCTCTGGGCAGATCAAAGTCAGGGCATGGCTAACTCACAATCGAACCCTGAAACAACCTCTGGGCAGATCAAAGTCANATGGCTAACTCACAATCGAACCCTGAAACAACCTCTGGGCAGATCAAAGTCAGGGCATGGCTAACTCACAATCGAACCCTGAAACAACCTCTGGGTGGATCAAAGTCAGGGCATGGCTAACTCACAATCGAACCCTGAAACAACCTCTGGGCGAACGGTCAGGGCATGGCTAACTCACAAATCGAACACTGAAACAACCTCTGGCCTAATCAAAGTCAGGGTGGGCACGGCTAACTCACAGATTGAATTGGAATTTAGCGTGTTGGGTTTTGCAGAAGGAAGGAAACCGAAGACTCCCGAGGAAAGGCCTCAAATCAAGGGAGAGAACTAACAAGCCCTAAACTATRGACTTCTGACTCTACTCAAGTGATGCAGACTCCTGAAATGGATCACTATACCGGCCGTTGGAGCCCTTGATTCTCTATACCACACTTAACATATGTGTGTGCTTTCTTTTGTCTCTTCAGTTTGGAAAGCTCTGGGTTGCTACAAAGACAGACCTGCACGAACTATGCCTACCGTTTATTCCTACCCGTTGACCGAAGCCCAAACAAAAGACTACAAGAGCATGTTCGAGGCCTGCAAAGCAGGAGCAGAAAATTTGAGCTTCACGATTTTTGGTATTCAGCACAAAARGGAATGTTGGGGATCTCTTGATGCAGATCTAACATACAATAAGTATGGCTGTGCGACCAACTGCCTGAAGTCCGCTGACGGCTACGGCACCGGTACAGACTGGTCCAACTTTGTCTATCGGAAATCTGTCCTCACACCGGAAAAAGATGGTTCTGGACACCTCTCAGGTAAAAAAGYAAAGAAGCCATTTTATAGCTCGGCTTTAGCTCGGCTTTGTTCCGATACACCTTATTCGCAATGTTTTTCTGTTACAGACTACGTGTCATTTCCTAAAAATTAACTGATTCTTTGTTTGAGTTGTATCCATATTCATGTCTTTACCGTTAAACAAASAAATGATACTCTTTAATGGGAAAACAATGGGCCACATCGAATAAGGTCTATTAAATCACGGTGGCTCGTAGATTTTCTCACCACATTTCTGCTTTTCAGTTGGTATATAATCAGTCCTGCGTTAGCTGGATCAGTCGGATTCATACCACATGTTCATTGGATTCTAGAAGAAAGT